TCATGACTACAATTAAACTAAATAAAAATTGCATGACTTTTCAAACCTGGAAAATGTTCTATTTTGCTCTAATTTTCCAGAAATCCCATGACCTATACAAACCCTGATGTTAATTCTGTCTCACAAGTTTTGTGAGAACATAGGTGTTTTATTTTTACTTCTCTTTTAAGGTTTTACGAGTATAATTCATGTAACAAATATAAAAAATCATATCCTAATTACTTTTCATAATTACTGTATAAATGTTTTTAATATGTCATTCTATATCTATGGGAAATATTTATTGCATCAATTTAATATTTCATAACAATTCTTACCACATAACTAGGTATAATTATAATGAAATCCTTCAAAATTTGATTTTTCTACAGACTGTATAATCATATTGTGTGCGTAAAGATTAAACCAAATGTCACAAAAATGTTTCACTCCTATATAAATTCTGTTCCATAAGCTTATTACTGAACAGATGAAACTCTAACACATACAGCAAATTATTCATTTTTATTTTGGATCTTGTAATACTTCGGAAGTCCATGGATAAAAAAAAACAACATAAACAAATAATTTGTTCATATAGTTTGGTTTGTGATAGTTAGTAATAAACATAAATGAAATGTAAATAATATTTCTTTTAATCCTAAGTACCTATGTCACTCTGTTTTTAAAGCTGAAAAAATTCAAAATATGTGCCTTTTCTCTTGACTATAACCATCAAAATGAAGCAATACTTTTTTCAGGAGAAATATGAGAAAGAATTTTTTAGAATTTGTTTTTGGAACTTCATTTGTAACCAATACTTACATAGATAACACAGGCCTACAAATAGAAAAATAAATAAACATAAACATAAATAAAAATAAACATAAAAGTTGTTTTGGTTTTAATAACAAATTTTCCATAATTCAGCTATGCAAATTTCAAAAATAATATTAATTTTTTTTCTATCGTATAAGGATTTTTTTTAGAAATTGGGAAGAAAAAACAATTCTTGCTTAGATTAAATTATTATTTCGTTTACCAGAATGAACATTTTTTATTATTATGTTTGTTAACAAAAATACAAACAAACTGGAAGAAAAGGGAAGAACATTGATGTCAAATGAATATGCATCCTCATTCTTCCTGATTTTCTTTTGTGAAATCTACGTCTTTTAGTCTCAAAACTATGTGTTGTGGTCTTTCTTTTATGTATTGCATTATGATGTTTTGTGAAAAATCTATAAGTGATCGATAAAAATGGATATTATTTTCAAATTCAGCATACAGAAATTACTGGAGAACATGTAAAAATTTCAAGACAATAAAACCATCACAGGCCTGTGTAATAAACTGGTAAAAGTAATGAGTACCTGTTCATTTTGAAATCACTGCCTTCAAATATTGAATGTGAGGAAAGAAGATTTTCTGCACATGCCAATGCTTTTCACAATTACAAATTTATATTTTTAAAATTTGTGCTAGTCATGCACAACATCTTCCCTTATTGTTTCCAAGTGTGTATAACATAATCTAAGTTTTTAATATAATTCTAGATATAGTTTAATTGGTCCACCTGTGAAGCACTATAATCAGGTTCTTGGTGTTTTGAGCTGAAGCTTATTTGTTATCATTTGCATATACCATCTTTAAAAATAAAAAATGTCTTGATTAATTGAAACTAGCATGTGAGATAAATAACTTCTAGTTATGAACAATCGAGACAAATGATACAGTTACAAATATGTTATTGTAATGATGTCAATAAACTTACTCTAAAAAGCACTCAAAACTAAAAATTACAACGTAGTTTTGGTTAAATACGTTACTAACAAGAGAGTTCTTTGAACCTTTGTATAAAACAAGGAGTAAAATCAGGCATTGTTTTAACCCTATAGGCCCCATTACCATTTTTAAATTCTTTTCTGTGTATGGTACTGCATTACATTCAAATTTTAATTAAACCACTTTACTATCAATATATGTCAATGAAATTAACATTATAATATATGATATAATAAGTATTTTTATGTTATCTAAGTTATAATTCATTTGTTTCAAAGAGAATATTTTAAAAATATACTTAAACTGCAGTTTGTGTGTCACATGATCCATCCACACACTATGAAAAACCTTGACTTTAGCAGCAGTTCACTCTTAGCCACATAAGCTGGCAATGTAAATGAGTATGTAGACACTAAATACGTGTTGTTGAACTACTTGTCACATGATACTCATAGTCCTACAACTGTATTCACTGGGAAAGAGAAAGAAATTTTCCAACCTTTATGGTTGCCACACCCACCTTCTATACTTTGCCTTGAGATCTAAATTGTATATGTAGTTAGATGGCATAAATGTATATAGTGATTAGAAAGAGCCCAGTTTACACTATACTCTACTAATGATGAATTTGAAATTGGCACACAGTTTTTCCTCACGGTGTACATGTAACTGCCTCTTGTATTGTCATCTGCTTGATCAACTCTAGTATTTACGGTGGTTTTTTACCTAAATATGCTAATTGTATTTAGGTCCTACTTTTATATTTTAGTTAATTATGTATTATTTGAGTTTTAAAAATTATACTTGAAAGATTTAATGATTTTTATAAGTTTAACTTCTTGTTGCCTGAACTGTGAAAGTGTATAAACAAGATGGTGTTATTTGCATGTGCAAAGCATTAGTGAAATGAGTCTCTGCATGGGGGTTCCGGTATAATAATAATAATAATAAAGCTCCATTAGTACTGATTGCCATAAATAATAAAAGACAAAGAATTGGAGAGGAAAGTTAAAAATAAACTATAAGTGAAAAGATAAAGACATGAAATTATAGATATTAAAAAAATTAGTTTCAAAAGGCTTCTAAGAAGAGCTAAAAGGTATGTACATGTTTTCATTTCTTAATTTTAAACATTTCATTTCAGTGTACATTGAAAATAGGTAGAGTTAGTGATATTGTGGAGAAAATGGGAAATAAAATATAAACATTTCAAAAACTTTTGATATTCATTCAGGAGGTTTTAGAGATTATGCAAATGAAATGTGAAAATTGTAGGGTAATAAATAGTATTTTTATACTTCATACAAATATCACCTTGCAGGTGAACTATTCAGATTCTGAGTGCAAATAACTATATTAAACAAGGAATTTATTTGGAATTATAGAAAAAATAAAAAATATTTTATTTTTCTGAAACTACAAACTTTTAGGAACATACTTGTCAAATTTTAAACAATTTCATCCACTAGTTTCATCTTTGGAACAATATATCACGAGAGTGACATTACCTACTAATAAAATTAGAAGCCAGGGGCCATAGAGTTAAGAGTAAAAAGTATCTTCATATACAGCAAATATAATATGTTTTTCACATATCTCTTACCCACAAATAACAACGTTTTAGGCATTCAGATTTCCAATAATTACCAGTTTTTAAAGCACTCACCAGTTTACAGATAAGCTTCTGTAAAACATTAATTATTTTAAATATAAAAACTTTAGTAAACAATAAACACAAGCATCATTAACTTGTTACTATAGAAAAAGATGGACTTTGAGAAACTATTCCAGTGTATAAGCAATACTATGTCAAGCAAGGAGCAATTATTTATCATATAGGTGATTCTTGCAATTACACGCAAGTAAAGCAAAAGATATGGTTGAAGCAAGGCTATTTAGTTGAAGGAGTGTGCATGCATGTTCGAGAAAAGCACCAGCCTTTTTCAGTTAAGGAGAGTTAGAGAGTAGGCATGAATGGGTAGAAGAAAAATAAAGGGAGGGAAAAAGCACATATGAAGGCTCCATGGAGTTTTTGAATCATTTTAACACATAATCGATCATGGATAGAATGATTAGGAGAAGTTCTCACACAGAAAAAAAATCTAAATAATAGCCCTCTTGGTCACACATTACCCAAAAATTCCAGCCTTTTTTAGTTGAGACCAATTTGTCATCCTGTTTGGCAAAAATTGCTATATTGGTCACTTTGGCCTCAATTTGCAGCCTTAAAATGACCTCCAAGGCCACAGTCACATAGTCCCTGTCACTTTCAGCACAGATTTGTAGCTGAATCTCGAGTTTGGAGTTTTTAGCTTTAAAGATGTTGTTGTGCATAAGGAACAGACCCATAGAGAAAGAGACAATTGTGCATATATATATATATATATATAGAGAGAGAGAGAGAGAGAGAGAGAAAGATAGATATGCTATCATGAGGCAATATTGCCAAATATTTATTTCACAACAGGATACAAATGGAGAAAAGCATACACATGATGCTGTGCAATACATAAACTTTTACAAAAGGGTTTCTGAAATAGGTAGAATTATATCATAAAACTTAAGAACATATATAGTTGTTATGCTATTCTTTTTATTGCATTTCCTAGCACACAAAAAATATAAGAATATTGCTTCCAAAAGATTGTTTATTGATTTTTTTATGAATAATATATGATTAAAACTTGTAATTGTTGATGTTTGTTAAGCCTGTGTGTGGCAAATACCATTTGATGCTTATGTGATATATTTATATGCATTTAGCCATCTACTGATTTTCTCATTAATGCCTGACCCACAAAAGGGTTGGAGTTTGTAAGCAAGATCCTTCAGCAAGATTTGTTCATTAAACTTCTCCTTTCATCATAGAAGAAAAACAATCCAACATTAAAAAAATAAAACAATTTTCAAGTACATTCTCAAAAACTCAATAAGAATGGTGCAAACTGAAATAAAACATGACTAAAAGAACAAGTTTCATTTTTAAAACATTAACTTGTGTTTTGAAGGGCCAATTTTCCCCTCTGCATAAATACATTTCTTACTCTTCTGATACATTATGCTGTTTGATAAAAATCAGTATGTAAAAAAAATTATATTAAAGAAAAAGAATAATAAAAAACTAATTTTTATTAACCCTGCAATGGTGTAAACCTATGTAATTCAGCATGTGTTGACAATGTTTAATCCAGTTGTTACCATAGTTCACAATAAATCAATAAAGTTTCAATACTCACTCCTCGACTAAGAAGAACACCAAAAGAGTCCACCATGTTTTCTCCATAGAAGAAATAGTTAGATGCAATAAGAAAATACCATGAAAGGGAACGGAACCAGGGAAGATCATGGGTTCGATACACTGAGTATCCCACAGATATGATTTCTTGGAAACATTTAACTTGAACTAACAAAGTCTGGAAATAACAAAAAAAAAGAAAAATTATCACACACCATATATCAAACTAATACAAATTATCCCATAAAAATATGTCCACTACTAACAAGAAAAGTAGATAAATAACAACAAAGTAGGAGTAAATAAAAATTAAGTCTAGAGAAGTTAGCTAAAAAAGTTAATGGACATAAAAAAACTGCTCTTTTAAAGCTTTGCACCTTTACAGTTTCAGGAAAAATTATTCAGGGAGTTTAAAATGACATCTGTCACCTTCACAAAAAATTCCTTAGGTATTCCATATACATTTCTATCTCTTGGCTTGAACTCAGTAGTTCTTAGACTTTCTGAAGACCAACTTCATGGTTTGCATTATGTTTTAAAGTAAGCTGCTGAACTTGGAAAGTAGGAAGTCTCAGTGTCCTTAGAACAATGAAATTGTGGTGAAGTGATAAAGTTTACCACAAATGACACAAGGTTTATATGTCTTACATTCAAAATTTATTAAACTACTTTTTGTTTATGCTATACCAATTAGTATCACATAAAATCTTAGCTAATAATCCATATTTTATTAGTATACAAGTTTGAAGTTCTTAATTCTATAAGGCAATATTTAAAAAAATCCTGAATTTCCCCTAGTGTGACACATGACACATTTTCTCTACGTATCTTCTCTTCTCTATTTTATCCACCACCCCTCCAGTAACTATGAAATTAAGCATAAATTACTCACTATAAAATCGTCATTGTTCAGACAAACCATAATTTTCATATCCTTTAATTTTGTTTGGATACAGAGCTATCATATAGAAAATCAGACCCCTCCTGCCACACCCACCTGTCATATCCTCTCTTTCAAGATTTGTTAATAGTTCTCTCTTACGTTTAATTATATATTACC